GTCATTTTCTTAGTAATCAATCAACTTTTAGCAACACAATGGAAATATACCAATATCTAGCCGCAAACCGCAGTTTACGCAAAAACATCCGTCTCCATGTCAAATTCACTATCATAATAAGGAAAAAGGTGACCAAACTCTTCCTGTAGGATAAGATCGCCAAAAGGAATAAGAAATGATCAACTGGCTTATCACAATGTTTACTGAATGGCTTATGCTAATACATTATTTCCATTCATTTTCCAACACCAATATAGGAAACCCTTATAATGTTTTGTAGATTAGATATATTACTATTTTGGATCAATATCTCAACAACAGTCAATTGATAACAAGTTAGTGTTAATGTTGGGTTAGTGGAGGGGTAGGTGGGCAGTTGCCCAGATACTGATATTGATCCTCTATTTTTATCGTTTAATATTACTTGTGGTATAAGTAAATTTTCAAGCGCAAAGGTTAAAATGATTGCTAATTTGTCCTGTCCTGGTAGTATTGAGAGTCTGTCCGCGAGAGGACCGGGAAAACGTGACATATGCCTTCTCACCGATTTCTTTAAACTTTCATAGTTTATGTGGGTCACTAAGATATTCAAGAATCCAAAGTAGTTCGGGCTCCCAGCTAATCCCTGGGGTATCAGAGCCCCCTCATCAAATCTCTGGGGTAAAAGGCTAAAATTAGCTCGAAAAATGCACTTTAACGAATCTCTCTCACACTAACAAAATGCAATGGGTTTTAATCTTATTACATCCAATGGTTGTTTGAACCTCAAGGAAACAATTTCTTTAAGATGGGGTAATTTGATATAACTTCTGTCAATTTAGAGCAGTAAATCATTAACTGTGTCACGCAACTATTCCAACAAAGAAAATGTTAGGCTTTTTAATTGGAAACATCTCTAATGGGCAATATTGTATACCGACAAACATTCCAGAACAGTTTGTGATCACGTCCCTCTGAAATACTTGACCTCTGTCGTTAATTCATGCAATTTTTAGTCGTAAACAAATGTTCACCCACTCAATTTCAATTTGAAAATGGGATCACCGACGCAAGTTTTTGTGGTACTAATTTCCAAAAACAACGGATGTATAGCTGCTGAGATAAGGAGTCACTTATATATTACAGAAATCCTGTAACGCTGACACAATCTACTGGAAAAATGATTTATAAATGTATTGATATATCATACATCAAACATCACCGAGTTGAGTAATGGACGTCGGCAGTTAACAGCAACGTTTGCCAAATGTAATTTACACAAATGAAACACTTTATATACCTATTATAATTTTACTCAGTGCACCATATATTCTTTATCTTGAGGAAAACTTTGAAGAAGACCCCATCCAGTTTTAGGTACATTACGGGACAGTTGATCCTGTTACATTTAACCTTACTTTAATAAAAAAAAGCAAAACAAAACAAAAAAAAGAAAAAGAAAGCTGTGTTCTGACGAGTGACGTTGGCTTCTAAGATGTAAAAGATCTATCAAGATTCCGATTTCTGTAGAATTAGGCAGTGAGAGGTTTCTGAAATGTTGTTTTTAAAAATAAAAGGTCTTAATCGGTCCATTTTTCATCATCAGTCCCTCTTAACAGCATAAACGCCTCTTTTACTGACTCTGAAGCCAATAATTCCTTACGTTACTCACAGGAAGAAGACTATCAGACAGTCACATTTAGAATTCTTTATGTACCGGTAATAAGTTTCTAGTTCTCTTCCCGTTATTTGAAATCTGGTCTGGAAGACTTCTTCTCCTTCTTCAAAGCTCAACCTACTCAAAAGACGGACCGTTGGCAGGTGTTGCAGTCGATTCTGTTCTCCATCGCTTCTCTATTGTTGACGTACTGATCGCCATCCATCATCCATCATCCTCTATGGAGGCACTTACAACTCTATTCAGGAGATCGGCGTTATTAAGGGCTGATAGCGTGCTGAAATATCTGGCAATTTGAACTGAAAGTCATTCCTCCTTGGTGAACAATTTGTCTCCATTTACTTATCTTTGACGCTTCATTTTAGGTGCAACATCTGCAGGATTTGCCTTGTTGCCGGTTTCTTCTCTTTGTAAGAATATCTCTTGTAAAGATGACCGCACTCGTTAAGAAAAGTTGTGCAAGGCTTGAATGCCAGCTATACTGTGCTTTTTTACATTTTGAAAAGAGTCTTGAATTTCTGCGTCGGTGGCGTAGCACCCTTTCATCCCTCTCTCTTCCCCGTGCTATCCAATCGCGGCGTTGTTTTAGTCGTTTCCTTCTTTTATGAATTGCCTCATGTGAGTTTTAAGTGTGGTTTGACGGCGATCGCAAACATCTTTGCTGGCTTGGGGATCGCTGAAGTCGTACTGTAAGCTTCTGATTCGAGTAAGCTTATGAAGGCTTGGCATTGTCAAAAGGACGCAAGATATAAGATATGTCTTTTTAATCTAATGGTAAGCATAATTTTTCCGTATCGGCGGAATTCCTTTGATTAACGGTTAGAGCAAATACCAACTGGAAGAACTACAGCATGACGTAGTTTACTTAATCCCTGACATTGACGAGTGGATAGCGCAAATTCCCAGAGCAGCCCCTCAAGACGCTGCACTGTTATTGAGAACTTGGCCAACAACCAAGTGCTCATAATTATGAACTGGGCCATGAAATTCCCCTTAGTTGGTTACCGGTAGAAACAAGGTTACTATTGAATAGTACGAAGAAGGGGGAGGGATGAAAGGATGCCATGCCACCATTCAAGAATCTTTCCATAATATGAAGAAGTACACCATGGCTGGCATCAAAGCTTTGATCAACTTTTCCTCTGAATGTGGTGGGGTAAGAGCTTGGAAAGTGTAAAATGTGGGAAAGGGCTTTCTTTTACTGGGACGGCCTCAAAAATACAGTTCTCCACGAGTTCCAACAGAAAAAATGTGTACTTAGTGACTGAGTGGGAGGTATATTTGGGTTGAGGTCATGACCGAGTGCCAAATATCTACCCGTCTGGCCCAAACAAACTCAGTCAATAAGCATTTGTTATATGACCACTAAGTATTGAGCGAAAATTTTGTTTCGACCTAAATAGGAAGCGATAGACGGGCGTACGCAAAAACCACCAAAAAACAACAACAACAACAGCAAAAAACACAAAAAACGATTCTGCAATATAAAGTTATCCCATGTTCTTTCGAGTCAGAGCTATAAAGACACATAATTCTACGAAAAACTACTCAAAAGAAACTTTGTTAGGCCAGGACGGCTTTTTACGGAGCAGCTCACGTCACAGCTTTTACTACGGTTTTCTATGGGATTCCGCACGTAGGGTCGTACGGTATGTGACGAAAGTACTTCAGCCACTTAGCCAACTAACTAAGGATGTTGCAAGGTTTCATGTGGCAGCACCTTTGCCCCAAGTTATCATAACTGATCAGCAAGGGACGTTAAACAATTCACGTACTTTTTTGTAAAGAGAAGGGAACGTAGCTCACGTACTTGTGGTCTGGCCTTGATTCCAAAATCGGGGGCACTTGCGATGTGTTACGGGAAAATTTACTGACTTTTCCCGTGTGTGTTATTCGGAACATATTTATTCGTAAACTTTCACATTTAACCATTTCAAGTCCTTTCATTTCAATAAATCAAAAAAATGCATAAAAACCACAGTAGCTTTTGAATAGATTTTTGTTGTTACTCGCTTTCATCATATACACCTGCTTGTCGGCACTTTTGTTTTTTATTTCATGGTTTTTTTAGGTAAATATAAGTGTTAATGGTCTTTCTGGAAACATTGGTTTTCATGGTAGATAGCAGCTGAGTTTAAACGCGTAAATCTAATTTCTTTTCATGCAATGGTTTCCAAACCAATCTTGTATGAATAAGCAGAAACCTTTAATTGCTTTTTCGTTTTTTTATTTCCTGAGCTGCGCTGCTGCACTTAAGATAGGTATTGTTTTCTATACCAGAGCTGTAAATTCGCACCTAGGTTTCCTACTTTAATGGCCTAAAGTTTATTGCATCCGTCTTTTTAATTTTGAGATACTTTCCGTCGTAGAAACAGATGGAATATTTAAGTAGTTTTTGTTTAGCTTCAAAGAGACTTTTTTCCGCTCCTTTGTGTCCTTATCCAAATATTGCGATTCGTGTAACAATAGCACTTCGCACCAGTTACTTCTTAAGCGAATACCTTGTACAGCTTTGATGATTACAAGCTAGAGTATGCTAGAGGTCATGTCGCTTGTTGGCCTGACCTAGAATAAAAGTACTGTGGAACCAAAGATTGTCTTATCCTTGACGTCCGTATAAGCTCGCTCGAAGCAGATCTCCGTGTACCAGGAAATCGTGACGAGTTTCCGTTCTCGCTGCCAAGTCGTCTCTACAGAGTTAGTTCCCCCAGTTGTTATTGTTCCGTCGCGCAGATTCAGTCCTCCAGTTTGGGCGAGAAAAACCTATCGTCACAGATGCTTCCTTCCAAAAATTTCAAACTCCTTAACGTAGTGTGGCCAAAGTCCCCCGCAAAGTGTTGTAATTAACTAAGAATAGCCTCCCAAGGGGAAAGATAAAACAGACTACTCCACTCTTCTCTACACGGTTTAATGTAACAGGAACAACAACTTTCCTGTAATGTACCTAAAATTAGGTGATAAATTGCTAGAACAACATTTTCAAATGTTCCCAGAACGTTTTAGCAAAAGGTTTACCGATCCTTTCTTGTTTTTGTTTTAAGAAACCCGCGACCTTTAATGTGATCCGTTGATGTGCTACAGTTGTACTTATCCTCGCCTCTTCTTCACTTGTTTTTTGTTTTAAGTCACTATTATGAATTCTGACACTTTATGCTCGTTACCTGAAGAAGTTTCCAGTTGTAATCGACTCAGCCTGTTTCTGTAACCTCACATATGGGTTCCTGTTTGTTGTGACTTATTAAGAATCCAGATTATCGCATCATTTAGTCAACTTGTCTTACTACAAAATAATGTTTCCCTAATAACAGGAGAGGATGACGATGGAAACCTAACGGTAGAGGCCATGATAGCTTTCGTGTACATCGCCTTCCTGGTTGCCGTGTTCCTGCTCAAGTCAGATCGCATTCACAAAGCCATTGAGATATGCAAGGAATGTTTGATTTTGCTAAATAACACCGATCAAAACAGCAAAGACCAACTTAATTCACTACTGCTACAATTTTACAGCGCCTTCAATTTACTTCTTTTCAACACTTATGTTCATATCTCTGACTATAAAAGTGCGGAAAGATACGGCAGGAAACTGCTTGTCTTATACTGCGAGTCTGGCGACTTAGTAAGAGAGGGATATGTAAGCATAGCTCTAGCAGAGATTGTTGAGGGTCAAAACAGGTTTACAGATGCCAAACAACTTTACGAAAAAGCAGTTAATATAAAGAGACAAACTGGTGAACAAATTGGTGAAGCACGCGCCTGCACAAGTTTGGGAATTATGTTTTATAGACTTGGCGAAAACCTAAAAGCGAAGGAGTTTGTTGAGAGGGCCCTTGCCATAACAACCGAAATTGGCGACAGAAGAGGAGAAGCATCCTGTTACAGAAACCTAGGAGTGTTGCTTCAGTCGCTCGGGGAATGCGACAAGGCTAAAGAGTATCTCCAGAAAGCGCTTGTCATCAGAACTGAAATTGGCGACAGAGAAGGAGAAGCAGCTGACTACGGGAACCTAGGTGCTGTGTTTACGTCGTTAGGGCAATATGACAATGCTAAAGAGTATCTCCAAAAAGCACTTGTCCTCAGCACTGAAATTGGCGACAGAGAAGGAGAGGCATCATGTTACGGAAACCTAGGTACTGTGTTTAAGTCACTCGGGCAATACGACAATGCTAAAGAGTACCTTCAAAAAGCGCTTGTCATCAGAACTGAAATTTGTGACAAAGAAGGAGAGGCATCATGTTATAGAAACCTAGGATCTGTATTTAAGTCGCTCGGGCAATACGACGATGCTAAAGAGTATCTTCAAAAATCGCTTGTCATCTCAACTGAGATTGGCGACAAAAAAGGAGAAGCAGCTGACTACGTAGACCTAGGTGCTGCGTACATGTCGCTCGGGCAATACGACAAGGCTAGAGAGTATTTTCAAAAAACCATAGTTATCGCAGCTGAGATTGGCGACAAAAAAGGAGAGGCATCATGTTATGAAATCCTAGGTACTGTATTTGACTTGCTCGGGCAATACGACAAGGTTAAAGAGTATCTTCAAAAAGCGCTTGTCATCAGAACTGAGATTGGCGTCAGAAAAGGAGAGGCATCATGTTATGCAATCCTAGGTAACGTGTTTAAATCGCTCGGGCAATACGACAAGGCTAAAGAAAATCTTCAAAAAGCGCTTGTCATCAGAACCGAGATTGGCGACAGAAAAGGAGAGGCATTATGCTATGAAAACCTAGTTGTAGTATGTAAGTTGCGATTTCAATACCACAAGGCTGAAGAGCATCTCCTAAGAGTGCTTGCCATCAGAACTGAGATTGGCGACAGAAGAGGAGAGGCAACATGTTATGGAAACCTAGGTACTGTGTTTTTGTCGCTCGGGCAATACGAAAAGGCTAAAGGGTATCTCCAAAAAGCGCTCGCCATCACAACTGGGATTGGCAACAGAAAAGGAGAGGCAGCATGTTATGGAAACCTAGGTAATGTGTATATGTTGCTCGGGCAATACGACAAGGCTAGAGAGTATCTCCAAAAAGCGCTCGCCATCACAACTGGGATTGGCGACAGAAAAGGAGAGGCAACATGTTATGGAAACCTAGGTAATGTTTTTAAGTCGCTCGGGCAATACGACAAGGCTAAAGAGTATCTTCAAAAAGGGCTTGTCATCGCAATTGAGATTGGCAACAGAAAAAGAGAGGCATCAGGTTATGGAAGCCTAGGTATTGTATTTAAGTCGCTTGGGCAATACGACAAGGCTAAAGAGTATCTTCAAAATGCGCTTATCATCAGAACTAAGATTGGCGACAGAGAAGGGGAAGCAGCTGACTACGGAAACCTAGGTACTGTATATATGTCGCTCGGGCAATACAACAATGCTAAAGAGTATCTCCAAAAAGCGCTTGTCATCAGAACTGAAATTGGCGACAAAAAAGGAGAAGCAGCTGACTACGGAAACCTAGGTACTGTGTATATGTCGCTCGGGCAATGCGACAAGGCTAAAGAGTATCTTCAAAAAGCGCTCGTCATCAGAACTGAGATTGGCGACAGAAAAGGAGAGGCATCATGTTATGGAAACTTAGGTAATGTATTTGAGTTGCTCAGGCAACACGACAAGGCTAAAGAGTATCTACAAAAAGCACTTAATATCACAACTGAAATTGGTGATAAGCAAGGGGAGGCAGCAGATCTTGCAAATCTTGGAGTTACGTACAGATCTGCTGGAGATTATGAAGTTTCCGAAGTGTGCTTGGAGAAAGCTTTATCCATATCCAGAGAAATTGGAGATAGAAGACAAGAGTTCCAAATTCTTCAAGATTATGCCATTTTGTATTTATTTCAAAATAAAATCAAAGACTCCCTTTCGTTTCTTCAACTGTGCATTGAAAGGTATGAGGAGCTGAGATCTTTCTTGGGCGCCAATGATCAATTCAAAACATCATTTCTGGAACACTCAGGAATATTTCCCTACAAGTTGTTTTGTGCTTTGCTTTGTGGCGCCGGAAAAATTCGTGATGCTCTTTATGTTGAGGAGTTGAGTCGAGCTAGAGGTCTATCAGACTTGATGACAGAGAAGTACTCTGTTGAAAGGCACATCTCTGCTAATCCACAATCTTGGTTTGGTATTGAAAACATTTTTAGGAAGAAAAATAACTGTACCTATCTGTGCATTTCTTATTTTCACAATCATCTGCATTTGTGGATCTTGAAAACAAGTGGAGTCCTTCTCTATAAAGGATTATCACTAAAAGAGAATCTAGTTGAGGCTGGGTTGCCCAAAGATTTGCCTCTGAGTGAAGTTTTGGCTGATAATTTCCGGAATCTTGGTATTTTGCCCATTGAAGATTGTGAGGATCGGTCTTTAAATATGGTTGAATTGCAACCTCTCTCCCCCGAACAAAAGAGCTCAGCAAGACTGCTGCTCGTAGAGGAGGAGGACAGGGAAGTCATTTCAAGTCTATCTTTGTGTTACAAAATGTTTATTGCTCCCGTTTATGATTTGCTTGAGGAGCCTGAAGTCGTTATTGTTCCTGACCGCAGCTTATACAAAGTTCCCTTTGCTGCCCTGAGTGAAAAGGAGGGAGCCGAATACCTGTCGGAGACTCATAAGATCCGTATCATTCCTTCTTTGACGACACTCAAGATCATTCAAGATAGTCCAGAGGACTATCACAGCAACAATGGTGCCTTGATAATAGGCAATCCCAAGGTCGATTGGTTGCTGCCATTGCCAGGTGCAAGAAAGGAAGCGGAGATGGTCGGACGACTGGTGGGTGTTCCGCCTCTGGTAGACGAGAAAGCAACGAAGCAGGCGGTACTTGAGCGGATAAGCTCCGTGAGCCTTATACATTTTGCTGCCCATGGCAACGCCGAAAGGGGAGAAATTGCCCTCTCCCCCATTCCTACTGCCAACAGTCGAAACGCTAACCTATCACAGGAAGCTTACATGTTGACGATGGCTGATGTCTCACAAGTGAGAGTCAGAGCTAAACTAGTGGTACTTAGCTGCTGTCACAGTGGAAGTGGAGAGATAAGAGCCGAGGGAGTTATAGGAATTGCCCGTGCGTTCTTAGGATCCGGTGCTCGATCGGTGTTGGTTGCGCTGTGGGCCATTTCAGACTCAGCAACAGAGAAGCTGATGAGTCGGTTCTACGAACACCTCGTTGAAGGAGAAAGTGCCAGTGAATCCCTTCATCAGGCCATGAAGTGGATGAGAAAAAACGGCTTGACCAAAGTGTCTGAGTGGGCTTCGTTTACGCTGATTGGAGATGATGTGAGGCTCACATTTGACAAACAGAGGTAAGACTCGGCGAGAACAGGTATTTCATAAATTAAAGTTAAATTAGATGTGAAGGTGGCTACGACTTACTGGTCGCTGACTGTCGGCGGGGATCCTTTGTTACCTTACACATCAAGGCTATTTTATTATATATCTATATATATATATATATATTTTTTTTTTCTTTTTACTATAGGCGCTCTCTGGTGTAAAATATCGAATCGCGAAAGTGCCTCTCTGCCGATCAGATACAAGTGGTACTCAGATATATTTTTACAAATTATGCTTGGTATAATTGTGTTTCCTTTATATCCCAAATATCAATCGGGTTAATAATAAATTGTTGTTTTTCACTTTTACAGGAAAACAGACCCCGCAGAATAAATAATGAGAATTACTTGAAGGAAACAGAGCGAAAAGACTTTTAAATGGATAAATTAAATAGAAACAAGGATACTCTATCCGGTAATTCATTGAAATTAAAAAAAGAGCGATCCCAAATTAGGGGAGATCTATTTCAATTTTGAGTGCTTCTGTTCCAATATTCTCTGAAGGATACATTGGTTGCGTACTCAGAATTTTTTTGTTTTTTACGTAAAATTTATACTTTTGATATCATAAGCAAGAAACAACGTTAGCGTACATAAGGCTTAAAGGTAGAGCGAAATTAGTAAAGTTAAAACAGTAGTTTAGGTATAAAACGAATCACTAATATAAAATCTGGTTTGATTTTATTTCAAAACTTTTTACAAGGTTTAGTTAACAAAACCTTTAATATTTGTGGAATGATCTTGATGTAGCATTTTAAAGAATCCTTGCCAATTATGTTTCGGTTTTTGTCAAAATACGGGCAACTGCGGAGAAATTCGTTTAAATTAACTCAACGCCTGGCAGGAGCCGCGCCGGCCCGTAAACACTTTTTACGTGGCGTTAAGAAAGGATTCGCAAAAGGAGAAGCATTTCGCATTCTGAAAACAGATCAGACGCGCTCCATATTTAATGAAAGACGTATAGAGCTTAAAATACGTTTAAAGAAGGGGATAGAGGATACCTACGAAGTAATGAAGAAATACATGTCTGGAGTTGTCTGCTCCAGTAGAGAAGGGTCACTAAAAAAAACAAAGATAACAGCACACATATATCCTGGTCAGCACTAATCTGTAAGAAGACAGAAGTTTAAAATCGCTTGCGGATGGCAGGAGTGTCATGCAGGCTCGTCAATACTTCAAGTTTTAACTGGTCACTTGCCTCTTTAGGTAGGCACCCAGCGCGAATCTGTTAAGCAACTGACTAAAGAAAGGGTTTCCGTCAAAGGATCTTAGTCAACCAAAAGACATTGCGCGCTTAGTTCGCCATTTTCTATGCCATCTAAATTCGAGAAATTTCCTTTGTACATCCCAGCAGTTTAAATGTATCATGAGGTCTAAAGTTATCTTGGTAACCTTTCTTAAATTATCAACGGTTTATTCTGGGTAGTTGTGTAGCGATTTCTCGCAATTTTCTTGAGAAATTTTTGTTTTTAACTGGAAACGTCGAAGGCATGTAGTGTTCCTTCACATGGAAGGCCTAAAGCCACAGAGAAGACGAAAAATTTCAATCTGTGGAATGACAGAAAGGATTCTCCTAGCATCCGAGATCTAACTAATGGTCAATTTGCAGAGATTTTTTTGGCGTCAAAGCGTCGACAATCGAAAATAGTTTGGAACGGGGTAATTGCATTCAAGGTCTACTGCATCGAAAAAATAGACACGACGCCTTTCTTTATATACCCAACGTTAAGTCTTTCTTGAAGGAAAAAACTTTTGCATCTGATTATCAGCTATGTAGTCATTCCAAATAAGCAAAAATAAAATTTGGCTCGAGTTGTGACGAAAGGCAATAAAAATTCGTGACCTTTCGGCTTTTGTGTATGCTTAAAGGCCGATTGTCAAGAGGCAAAGTTGACCCCCTCTTGCTTTGAAGCTTTGTTTAAATTTCAAACGGTCCACTTCAAATGTTTTTTTTCGGAGAGATAGTTCTTGGTAATCTTACTGCTTGCCTTTAATGAACCATATTTTACGCCTGGTAGGTGGCAAGAGGCGAAGTGCGTAATTTGGAAAGTCTCGGTCTGCTTCTAATGAGTTTTGATGTCTCAGATGGAATTTTTTGCGAATCCTTCCCCTTTGAACACCATGTTAACGAGAAAAGTGATTTGGTTGATTCTCTGATATTTCAGCCGTGAATTTGATAATAGGGTGGAAATAGTTAGCCCGTTTAATTAACCGATTTACCTCTTTTCTGTCGCAATCCCAAAGGGAGAAAACGTCATTAATGTAACGTTTCCATTCTTTTGGTTTGGTTTCGCTTTGTTAGATTCATTTCTTTTCAATTTCCGCCATGAAAATATTGGCAAATGACACTGCTATTTTCATACCCAAAGTGGTTCCATGTTCCGGAGGAAGCTCTCTTCAATGAATTAAAACGAATTTTCTTTCAAGATTAAGGGCAAGCCTTTCCGTAAGGATGTATAATGTATGACAACACTGCCAATAAGTTTCTCGACCTTTTAAGCTGTTTCAATCTGGAAGTCTGTAATGTCCACACCCCGACGCACAAAAACAACAACGCCCTTGACCTCATTATCACAAGATCCGGCGAAGAAACTGACTTAAATTTATCCATCAACGACCCGGTTATCTCTGATCACTTTGCTGTTCTTTGCACCTCGGCTATCAAGAGACCACCTAAAGCTAAGCTCACCATCTCATCACGTAAACTGCGTACCATTGATCCAGACAACCTACGGCGTGATATTCGTTCCTCCGCCTTATATAACTCACCATCTCAGGAAATTACGGAACTCTGTGACCAGTATGACTCGGTTTTACTTTCCATTTAGACAAACATGCACCTTTGCGTACAAGAATCATCAATCTGCGACCTAATGCTCCCTGGTACAGCGAGGAAATCAGAAAATAGAAAACAACCTGCCGCAAGTTTGAAAGGCGCTGGCGACGCTCCAAACTTGAATCAGACTATCGACTTTACGCTAATCAACGCACTATTATTCAGAACACCATTTTTAAGTCAAAAATGGATTACTACTCTAATCGTATTTCAGAGGCTGGCAACGACAACAAAGCCCTATTTCGATTAATCGACCGTCTCCTCCACAGGAAAGCAGAGAAAAGTTATCCAACCAGCACATCAGCTGAAGATCTCGCTAATACATTTGTTACCTTCTTCGAAGATAAAATAACCCGTATTAGAAGTATACCTACTCCTTCTGAAATTCCGGATTACTTTTCCTCACTGGATATTTCCACCACCAATTGTGAGCTTAGCAACTTCTCACCTACTTCAAATCTTGAACTATCGAAGATTGCCCGCTCTGTTGTGCAGAAATCCTGCTGTCTGGATCCTTTACCAGCCACGTTACTTAAAGAACATCTGGACCTGCTCCTACCATCTATTTGTAGTATTGTAAACCTGTCACTGGTATCTGGTTTTCTATCTTCGTCCCTTAAAAACGCTGTTGTAACCCCTCTTCTCAAGAAACCGAACCTGGACCACGAAGTTCTTAGTAATTTTAGGCCTATTTCGAACCTTAAGGTTATCTCGAAAGTCATTGAGAAGGTTGTGGCAGTGCGTCTTCAAGCTTATCTTGACTTCTACCAACTCACAGAGCCGCTACAATCTGCCTACAAATCATTCCACAGCTGCGAAACCGCCCTTCTCCGTGTTCAAAATGACATTTTGCTTGCTATCGATAATCGCCACTGTGTCATGCTCCTGTTACTAGATCTCTCCGCTGCATTTGACTCTGTTGACCATGTAATACTGCTCAAAAGATTGAATTCTAAATTCTCAATACGTGGCACTGCACTTGACTGGTTCCGCTCCTACCTTACTAACCGCACACAAGTCGTCCTAATCGATGGGAGGAAATAGCAATCTCGTGAGCTCAAGTGTGGAGTACCTCAAGGCTCCATTCTTGGGCCGATCCTCTACCTACTTTACACTGCTCCTCTTGCCGACATTTTACGTTTTCACGACATGCAATTTCATTTCTACGCCGATGATACTCAGTTGTACATTTCTTTTTCCGTTAACGATGATCTGAAATTAACCAGTAGCATTGCTAAAATCGAGAATTGCTTATACGATCTAGATAAGTGGATGGCCTTAAATAAGCTGAAGCTAAACAAAGACAAAACTGAACTTCTCTACCTTTATTCAAAGCACAACCCTCAACAGTCTATACCTCCACTTCGTTTTGGTTCTGATATAATACAGCCGTCTTCATCTTCCAGAAATATCGGCGTCGTTTTCGATAGTACTATGTCAATGCTCCCTCATGTCAAATCTGTCTGTAAATCTGCCTTCTATCATCTTCGGAACATTTCCCGTATAAGGAAATTACTATCCATTAAGACCACTGAGACTCTAGTCCACGCCTTTGTAACCTCCAAGTTGGATCACTGTAACTCTCTTTTATACGGTGTCCCCAAATACGCTATCCAAAAGCTCCAATCAGTGCAGAATGCAGCGGCTCGACTTATTACCAGCTCTCGTAAATTCGACCGCATCACCCCTGTTTTGTTCGACCTACACTGGCTTCCAATTTCTGAGCGAATCAAATTCAAAATAATTCTGCTCACCCATAAAGCTCTTCACCAGCAGTCTCCTGTCTACATTCAAGACCTAATACGCCGTTATTCAACTTCAAGAACGCTCCGTTCGTCTTCAACATTGCGTCTGACTCCTGTCAACTTTAATCTCAAGTCCTATGGCTATAGAGCTTTTGCTGTTTCGGCTCCTGAACTGTGGAATAAGCTACCTGATGACATTCGTTCTTGTGACAATTTAAATATTTTTAAACGTAAACTTAAGACTCATCTTTTTAAAAATTACTTTAATGTATGATCTCTTTTCTTATCCATGTCAAACGCCTATATCTTAGACATCAGTTAACTTAAGACTTACTTTTAATATTATTTTAACGTGTGATATTTTAATATTTTTGTAAAGCGCTTAGAACAGGA